AGAGCATTGGAAACAATTCAAAACCTACAGAAAGAGGTCCAAACAATTAATAATAGAGTATCAGAAATGGACAATACACTGAAAGGGCAAGGGAGCAGAACTGAAGAGATAGAAGCCAGAACTAGTGAGCTAAAAGATAAATGTCTCATCACTACTAAGATAGAAGAGCAAATACAAAAAAAGGATTAAAAAAAATTTGAAGAAGGCCTAAGATTCATGATGGACAACATGAAGAGGAATAATTTAAGATTTATCGGCATTCCGGAACAGGAAGAATCACACAAGTCCACAGAGGAGATAGCTGAAGAGCTGCTGAAGAAAAATTTCCTAACATCCTGAAAAGCTAAAAGATAAGCATTCAAGAAGCTTAACGAACTCCAGGAAGGATAGACTCTAAAAGAAAATCACCAAGACATATCATAACTAAGCTCTCCAAAATCAAAGATAAGGGCAGAATCCTGAAAGCAGCTAGGGAAAACAGAAGTGTAACATATAAAGGCAAGCAAATCAGATTAAGCTCGGATCTCTCAACAGAAACCATACAGGCAAGAAGGAAATGCGGAGACATACATAAAACCCTAAAAGAAAGAAAACTGCCAACCAAGAATCCATTACCCAGCAAAGCTGTCAATCAAATACGATGGTGTAATCAAAACATTCCTGGATAAACAGAAGCTAAGGGATTTTGCCAAAGACAACCCTGCTATGAAAAAAACATAAAGGAAAATCTGTGGACTGAGAACCAACAAGAACAGAACCAGAGAAATGACTTACGTGGCAGCATCACCCTGAACTCAATCAACAAATGGAAGAGTCAAGAACAGATTAAACTTATAAAAACAGAGTATCTGAGAGGTCCGTCTATGATCAAAACATTTACAAGGTGAAAGAAAGTAAACACAAAGGAACAGAGATCCAGGTGGTGAGAAGGACAGGATAAAATAAGACTGTCTTAAATGGAAGGAAGAATTAATGGAATATAAGGTAATCACAACAGTGGGGTTGGGGTTGGGGGTTTAGTTCAGGTGTTGGGGAGGGCAATACAAGGTGAAGGGGTAGGCAGAAGAACAAGATAGATAGGGGAACACTGAGACAGGTTTACATGTCCTAAGTGGGACAGAGGTAAATAGTGATGCATGCTCAACCTTGAAACAACAGAGCTCTGGGATACAGGGATCTAGGTATAGCTTGAAGAGGGTAAATAATACAAAAATGCTTGAATGTCTTATGAATATTGGTTTCCCTTGTCTACTATTGTAAAATAGACACTTGGGTGAGATAGAAAGGAATGTTGGGAAACATGATTACAGAAAACTTGTAAGCCCATCTTTAGCCTATAACTGATTGGAATACCTAAAAGGGGTTCTAGAACTTGCCCAGTGAAATAGGCCTCTTGCAAAGCCTTTGCAGTGTATAGGACCTTAGGTAGAATCCTGAGTCCCATCCAGAACCTTATGAGGTGGGACACTTATTTCCACTAGCAAGGACAAGCAGGCCAGCCTGGAATGGCTAGAGCAACAGAAGATACCAGCATGACAACCTACTACAAGAACAAGCAAACTGCTCTCTGGGAAGCCATCAAGGCAAGCAATCAAGTTCCTTCACAACAAACTCCTTTCTAAGACTGAAACTCAAAGGGAACACATGAACAGGCATGTAAGCTTGTTGGCGACCACATTGGTCTACTGGTGAGTGGAAGCTATGAAGAAATGGGCTAACTTCAACCACAGTCCATTGACCCTGTTGGCCTGGAGATGAGAAAAGAGGAAGGGCAGGTTGGTCCAAAGTGTGCTGAGACCTGAGGACACCTGAGCCCATGGACAAGAACATAGCCACAGAGGGCTAGAGCTGAGAGTGAAGCATCCAGCTGGTATGAAGTGAGGGGAGATGAACAGGAAAACCCAAACTTGCAGATAGTACCCATTCGACCTCCATGGCTTGATAAACAGAACTCGACTAGAGGAAGATTACAAAAAAAAACAACAAAAAAAAATTTTTTTGATAAAGGAAACAAGGGTAAATTGTTACAATTTTATGAACCTGACCTATACTCATGGTGGGAGTAACTCTAAATAGCAACAGAGAAGGAAGGAGTCTTCACATTAAGTATCAATGCTATCCCATCTGTACACAGAGTTGATAGAGTTGGGCAACTTAGACACTGGCTACCTAAAGTGGGGTGGGGTGGGCAACTGGTTTGCAAGCTTTCAAGAGGGAGTTTAGTTTCAGAGTGTGAGGGGGAAGATAGAATCCCCGGTGAATAGTTTTCATCTTGTCTAGATGGGTCTGGTGAAAGGAGATGGGGTAAGAGTCTTATGATTCAATAGTGAGTAATTGTTATCATGACTAATTCAACTGTCACAACTGTAAAGGCAGAAGTTTTGTAACAAAAAAGGGGAGAGTAGTTAAAGTCCAGAAAAAGAAGACCCTAGGGCCACCAAGGGAGAAGAGCACAATGGAATTCAGGACCCTATCCAGAGAAGCAGGGACACTAGAGATGGAGGCAGAGATGAGACATGGAGAGAGAGAGCAGCTGAGGACTCTGGACTCACACAAAGAGAGGGACTGAATACTGGCGGCCAGGAAGCAGGCTTGCAGGATGTGCCTTTGTTGTTTAAATGATTATATTTTCACGAGTGTTTTTGTGTACATTCCCCCCCTCCACTGCCAAAAAAACACAGAGAGAATAGAAGCAAAAAAAAAAACAACCAACTTAAAGTTGCATACTTTTGTTTTAGTTATTTACACACGGCTTAAAGGAAAATAAAATAACTTATTAGAAATAAAGTGAGTAAGAAAAAAAAAAAAAAGACAATAAAAATTTCCATTATCTTTTTGGAGTCCCCCACCCCAGTTTTGGAGGCGGGCTGACTCAGAGGCCAGGTGGCCTAGGTTTGGCCTCCTCCTTACTGGCCGTGGTGGTGGGGCCATCTTCTTGGTCATCTTCCATGGGGATAATCGTGCCCGTCATCGTGTTAATGGGTCAAAGGGGGGGAAACCGCAGAGCACCGGCAGTGGTCTGCCGATCCGGGGAGCTGTTACTATTTAACACCCGCACCCGGAATGTCAGCTTCCGGTTCTTCACCGACCGCATCACTCCCGGAAGTGATCACCAAGTGCTCATCTACCACTGGCAGCCGAACCCAGAGAAGGAAGGAGCAAGCTGCCATAGGCTGGCGCTGCCTGGGGGTTTAGGTGGACAGGCATTCCTGGTGCGATAGGTTCCCCATTTTCCAGGGGGCAGTATGGGTCTGTCCGAGCGGAGCGAGGCTCGGCCTGGGCCCTGCAGCCCCGGCCTGAAGCTGGGCGGGGTCGCGAGCGGACTCGGCGCCCTGCAGGAGCCACACTGCCCAGCGGAAATCCTCTCAGGGCTTCCTTTCAGCCTGCGAGGCGAGCAGCTGACGACCCGGTAGGCCGAGGACGCGGCTCCCCCACGTTACCCGCTCGTGTGACCCGGTATCCCCGCCACGCCCTGCTCCCGCTTGTCCCCGCGCAGCGGCTCACCCCTAACGCCAGTTCGCAGCGCTGGTGGGTCTAGCCGCGTTGCTATGGCAACCCGGTCCGTCGACCGCAGTTTGTGACGTTAAGTGTGGCGCTGGGTCCCGCCGGGTGGAAACCAAAGCCCCGGCTCCGGGTTCCGCTCTGGTCAGTGGGAGCTCGAGTCCTGAGGAAGGCGGGCAGCTCTCCGGACGCCGGTCGGCCCCAGAACCAGCTGCAGCTAAGGATTCCCACGTCCCCGGCCCGCAGGGTGACAGCAGGTCGGGATCCACGTCCATCGCCCCCCAGGAAGACTGGGCCTGGGACCTGATCTCATCGAGTGAACGCAGCCCGGAGGGGAAGGGAGCTGTGTCCTTGGAAATTCCGATCCGTATGAGGGGGGTGGTGTTGTAAAGTGCTACTGGAGTCTTTGGACTCCCAGCGACCCTTCATGGTTTCCGAGGAGCGGCTGGTGGTTTTGAACTAACGACCTTGCAGTTAGAAGTCCAGTCCTTATCCTCCAGTGCCACACCAGGATCCCTATGAGGGGATAGGGACCCACAATTTTGGGAGCCAGGCTGTTTTGTGGGGTCTGTGTCCCTGCCCACATGCCTCATTGTCCTCACCTACCAAGTGAAGCCTACAAGAACCCACATCGTGGGGCTATGCATGCTCCCTGACCTCACGGTGAGCCAGAGAGCCAGTGCTTACAAGCTGCAGGTAGCCCGTGTCTAGGCACCCAAGCCACCAAGCAGGCTGACCTAGAACTTGGGCTCCAGGAGCCTCAGTGTCTGAGGACTGATTCCAGTCAGACTCAGCTGGGGGAAGACCCCGACCCAGGTCCATCCCCTGCACATTTGTTGTTGTCAGGGGTCATCAAGTTAGTACCGACTCTTAGAGATCTGTGCACAACAGAACAAAACACTGCCCCGTTCTTCATCCACCTCACAATTGTTGCTACATTTGAGCCCATTGCTGCTGCCACTGTGCCAGTCCACCTAGTTGGGGGCCCTTCCTGTTTTTCTCGGACTTTTCACTTTACCAAACATGATAAAACTCCAGGGACTGGTCCTTCCTGATAGTATGTCTGAAGTCTGAGAGATGAAGTCTGGCCATCCTGGCTTTCAAGGAGCACCCTGGCTGCACTTCTTCCAACACAGATCTGTTTGTTCTTTTGGCAGCTCATGACACTCTCAATATTGTCCAACACCATAGCTCACATGCATCAATTCTTCTACAGTTTTCCTTATTCACTGTCCAGGTTTCACATGTAGATGAGACAATGGGTCAGGTGCACCTGAGTCGCAGCACTGAACACGGCTTCCTGTAAATATGCCCCTAGTCAGAAACTCCTGGTGTGATGCTGTGGGTTAATGCGCCAGACTGCAAAGCCATTTGAACTGCAAGGTCAGCAGTTCAAGCTCACCAGATGCTCCTCAGAAACCCTATACAGGGTCACTATGGGTCAGAATCGACTCGACAGCACTTAACAACAGTCAGAAAGTGGAGGTTTACTTCTGTGGTATTAATAAAGCCATACGAGTATGGAGTCCTGGTGTGGTGCTGTGGGCTAATGCCTCAGACTGTAAAGTCGTTTGAACTGCAAGGTTGGTGGTTCAAGCTCACCAGCTGCTCCTTGGAAACCCTATACAGGGTCGCTATGGGTCGGAACCGACTTGACGGCACTTCACAACAACAACAACATACCAGTATAGTGATCTTTTCTGAGAGATGTCCTATCCAAGGGGCAGAGTAGACACACACATGTGAAGGGCTGAAGGGGGGTCCAGAAGTCAAGAAATGCGCAGGGAGGGCAACGTGGGGGTACGAACAAGGAAGCAGAGCTGAGGTCCTGAGTTGGACTTTAGCCTCCAGAACTGGGAGGAAATACAGTTCTGAAGTTGAGGCGTTTGTGTTATGGCAGCTCTGGGTCACTTCCCTGTTGACAGAAGGGAGCAGGTGTGGGGACAACCAGGAACATGGTGGTACTGCCAGCGGTTCTGCTGCCGGGCACACTGAGATTCACCCTCATTGGCTGGCTCCATCATCCATGGCCCAAACAGGGAAGAGGAAGTCTGAACCCATCACCAAAGGGGTTGGGCTGCAGTACTTGGGATTTAGCCTGGACACTTGAGTATCCACCGGCAGCTGGGACCTGGACAGGGACATTGGGGGTGGGGGAAGGCCCAGAGCTGGGCTGCCCAAGAAGGCCTGGTCCTGACTATCCACAAGCTCCAGGCCTGTCCTGAGCCTGGCCACTGGGTTGTGTCACTGATGACACCCCCAGTGGTGAGGAACCTCTGTTGCCAGGCTGAGTGCTGAAGTGCAGAGAGGCGTGGGCAGGACCGGGGGCCTAGCCTAGGAGCCCTGGGCACGTCACTTGCCTTGCTTTGCAGCACGCCCTGCCCTGGACCTGCCTGGCCACTTCTCCATCTCCTTAGCCCTCTCTGTTTACAGGCCTTGTGGGCAGGAAGTGAGCCCACAACCACACCCAGGGCCGGCTGCTTGTCCCCTGGGCTCAGTGTCGGATGATGACCTCAGGGGACTGGCAGCACAGACCTTTGGGGGCCGAGGGACACAGCAGCTCGCTGTGCACCAAGAACAAGGCCAGCTATAGGCCGTCAGTGCCAGTACCGGCAAGGAGAGCCTAGGCTTCAGGGAAGCTCCTAGGGCCAGGTGAGCTAACCTGATGGTCCACGGCTGTCTCAGCCCAGAGGGGCTGTTGTCCACAGCTTGCTGCCCACTGACTGCCCAGAATCTGGGGGCAGGTGGCCTGAATTGTGTGACGTGTGGCACTTTTACAGGGTCACTAGATCCTCCAAAGACCATGAGGTCTGTTCCACTCAATAAAAATGGGGACAGTAAGGGGCTCACTGTGGCCCCACACAGAGCCAAATCCCTGGCTGCAGTCTTTCCACCCCCTACCAAGGTGGCTTCTGGGAGCTCTTGATGCTGAGTCATGGTGGGGGAAGTGCAGACCTTTGTGGTCCCTGTGCAGGGTGGCTGGGCACCTCCTGTCCCTCGCTGTACCCACAGTACCTATGATCTGGGCTGCATGGGGCTGGCCATCTGCCAGGAGCTGCTAAGGACTCCTCCAGCTTCCTCCTACTGGTCACATCTCCTGGTCACACCTAAGCGCACCAAGTCCAGATGGTTGTCACACTGTAAGGGGTGGAGTGAGCCTTGGAGGAGCTGACCCCTCAGCTCAGGAGGTAGGAGGAGAGGCCAGCTCTGGGCGACCTTGTTGCAGGCACTGTTACAGACTCTGGAGTGGACATGACGCCAGACAGCATGCTCTGCTTTGGGGAACACGGCTCGAGCACGAGGAGCCGTGGGCTGGGTGTGCTGCTAGATGGCCTGGCTATGGGACTGAGGGAGAGGGGAAACCCTAATTACAGACCACCTGGAGAGTCTGGGTGGCCATGTGCTCTTGGGTAACCAGAAGTGTGAACAGAGAATAGGAGGAGGGCTGGACCCCCGAAACATTGGCGCCCAGGAGACATCCACAGACAGCTGAGAGGGTGGGACTGAAGACAGGACAGTGTTGTGGGTGCTTGTGCCGGGCTCCAGGACCACACAATGGACAGAGGGTCCCCAGACTGGTCAGCGTACCAGGTAGGCTTGGCCACCTTGGACACTCCTGAGGCAGGGACTGCCCATGCACCTTGGTTTGGTTTTTCATGAATAGACTATTTTTATAGAAGTTTTAGATTTACAGAAAACTGAGAAGATGGCCCAGATTCCCATACACCTGTGGGCAGTTCACCTCTGAAATCGGATACGTTTGTTACAGGTGATGAGCTAGAGTCCCTAGCTGACTGAGTGTGGTCACGTTTAATGCCGTGTGTCCACTGCGACAGTATCACACAATCGTTTCACGTCCTAAAGATGTCCTGTGCCCATGGGAGTTCTGTTAGGGTTTAGGTGCTGTCAAGTTGGTTCCGACTCAGTGACCCCCATGCACAGCAGAAAGAAACCCCGTCTGAGTCTTCACTGTCCTCACAATTGTCAGGTTTGAGACCAGTGTTGCAGTCATTATGTCACCCCATCTTCTTGGGGGGTTCTTCCTCCTTCCTCCCTCCGCTCCCCACCGCTTTACCAAGCATGATGTTCTTCTTCTCCAGGGACAGGTCTCTCCTGATAAAATGTCCACAGTAAATACGATGACGTCTTACCATCCTGGCTTCTAAGGTGCATTCTGGCTGCACTGCTTCTAATTCTGGCCTTTCAGTATTCTTTGCCAACACCTCAATTCAAATGCATCAATTCTACCGTCTTCCTTATTAGCTGTCCAGCTGTCACATGCATGTCTTGAGTCTGGGCGCCTTTGTCCTCACACTGACACCTTTGCTCTTTATCACTTTCATGAGGATCTTTCACAGCAAATTTGCCCAAGGCGATGCGACACTGGCTTTCTTGACTGTTGCTTCCATTAGTATTAATTGTGGATCCAAGTAAACTGGAATCCTTCACAACTCCAATCTTTTCTCCCCT